ATCATACTCGTAATGTCGCAAACAAAGGCTTGGCTTGCAAGTATATATACTGTCGTACTTTGAAATAGCTGCGGCACGTGAGACTGATCTCGTGTAGTGTGACTAAACAATTTCATATACTAAATGTCAATCAAGAACGACTTCATTAAAAAGCGCAACTTATTATAAAGCTCACCGCATACGGAGTTTAAATAATACGAAGTTTGACAAGCTTGCTGAATTTAATTATGTGACTCGATTATTAAAATGCGACTGCACAATTTGGTGCGGGTCATAGTACGGCTACTCTTGGATTGACAAAAAATGAGGTCATCCTCGGGCTCCCAGTGAGGGAGAGATTGGCCCAGGGTTGTTAAAATTAGGTGTATAATTAGGAGGTTTCATCTCAGACCTTTCTCAGACTTTCAAACATACCGACTTATAAGTGCAGGGCAAAGACTAAACCAATATTTAATACTGGTACCTGCTGACAAGGACAGATGGAGACAATTTGCAACCTGACGTTTCGACATCCTGCGTGGAAGTCGAAACGTCAGGTAACTAGTCTATATACAACAGTCTTCCTCAAGACTTCACGCATCTGGGCCCGGACGATCATATCACGTGACATACATCGCTTAGTCCTTATACCTGGTTCAGACCATTCACTCTCATGCGTTCACTAGGACGACAGAGCGAACGACAGTGTATTATTTATGATTTAGCTATGGAAAGGAAGGGAAAGATTTAAGAATTTATGAATTAGTTTGTCTTCCTGTGCTCTTCCAGTCTTGGCCACGAAACGACATCAGTTCACTGCCGTCAAAGGTCAAAATCGTTTTTGTCCCGAAAACAACCACTTCCTTTTTCTCGATAAGTTGTCATAGTGCATTTCAAACAATTTCGAGTAAGAGAGTTTTTAAATATGTCACAAGCTAATCATATCAAAGCTTTGAATGGGAAAGAATACGATACTTTTACAGTAATGGACCTTATGATGAGCTCTGTAGACAATCGTGATCCACACAAACCAGAAACTCGTAGTAATGTCAGTAATGGCAATGGCTACTCACCAGTGAAAGAACCGCTTTTAGAGGGACTGCCTAAGGTGAGCACCAAAACTGTACGTATGTACGCAACCCGCAGTCTTTAGGTAAATCTAGATGTACATTGCTGACCTGAAGGGTTTTCTTCATAATTTTATTCTTGATTATCCTGGGGAGGGGGGCACTCCATCGTACTTAGGACGGAGAGGATTGTCGGACGTTTGAAAAAAATAATCAACACAAAAAGATACCGAACGCTTACATTTTAATCCCGATCAGATGCCAGGTAGAAAAAAAAACACTATTAAACACCTTCTGCTTGAAAGGTTCATCAAAAATATTTCATGTCTCTCTAAACACAAAACCGACATTTTCAATTTAATTATTGAATATTTTTAAAGCAGCCCTATCACCGCAAAGTTCCTAAAGAAATAAAGAAACAAAAAAAGGGAATTAAAAACATTTTTTTGGTGAAATTCTAACAAAGTAATTAAAGCTATTGTCCTTTTATCAATGCTCTTGTTATTTAGAGCCTCCCGTGTATTGTTATTATGATTACTATGGAAAGGAGACCAGAGGAACGATTTGAGCATTTATGAATTATTAGTTTGTCTTCCTGTTGTCTTGCAGTCTTGGCTACAAAACGACGTACATGCCAATATCAGCTCAATTCCGTCAAAGGTCAAAATCGTTTTTGTCTTGCTACGCGTACTTCCTAGAATTACCACATGCTTTTTCTCGATTTGTTGTTATAGTGTATTTCAAACAATTTCGAGTAAGAGAGTTCTTAATAAGTCACAAGCTAATCTTATCAAAGCTTTGAATGGAAAAGAATACGATACTTTCACAGTAGTGGCAATGATGAGCTCAACTCGTGTAGACAATCGTCAAGATACACCAGAAACTCGTAGTAATGTCAGTAATGGCAATGGCTACTCAATGAAGGACAAGGCACCGCTTTTAGCGAAACTACCTCGTGTGAGCAGCAAAACTGTATGTATACAACCACAGTCTTCTCCTAGATGTTTTAAAACTGGTAAATCTAGATGAAAATTGCCGTTTTGAAGGTTTTTTTTTGTTAATTGTATCCGGGGGGAGGGGGGCACTCCATCGTACTTAGGACGGGAAAGAATAACCCAAAAAGATATCGAACGCTTGAAAGGATCATCAAAGCCGTTGTCATTCTCATATCAGAAGATACAGCTTAGATTTGTTATCCTAAAAGTTTAAGAAACTCCTAAAGATACGATGATTGTCTCTGCCCAACCGGAAGAGGGGGGGGGCAGTAATGATGATCTTTATGATTACTGCGTCGCTAATCGAGCTTATTTAGGGATTCATAAACTGTAAAATAAATAAAGCTGAGGTTGAGTTAATAATAGGTACACACATGGATCTTTGTTTGGACTTTGTAGGGGGTCCGCCATATTCGAATAGTCAACTTTAGATATTTTGGTGCAATCCCCGGAGCCTCGTTGCAATTCTTTTTGCGCATGGTCACTGAACCAAAATATCTTAAGTCGGCTATTATCTTGGTGTGTATTAGTTATCATCGACTTCTTAGTTGAAAGTCACAATTTGAACAAAAACGGATGAATTTTGCGCTGCTGATTGTGTCATTTTGGCCGTGTTCAGAAATTTTTAAAAAATCAAGCAATGCTCGGTGCGCCATTTTGTGACATTATTGTGTGTCTTACGTCTAGCACTAAATAAATGTTTTGAAAACTACTGTTTATTGTTAAAGACAACAACCTTATTCATCAAGAAAGGTCAGATTTCGACCACCAATTACTAGAATATCTGAAAATCCCCCGGGGGAGGGGGGGGGGTACTCCCATACATCGTCACTAATCACAGTGATCTAAAGAAAGATAAAGAAATGTCATTATAGTATGTGCAGCACTTTTGTGGTCATAAATTATGAGATCTACCTGGGCTGAACTCGCATTTACTAACCTCGGGTCAAAAAAAGATGGCGTTGAGTTTTGATTTGAGATTTTTTTTAATCTTACGAATTATACGTAATTGACAGCGAGGCCATTGTGTAAACCAAAACCAAAACATGGTGGAGCGATCATCCCCGCCCTAAATATGAGGGGGTCCTCCCCCGGGAATGAAACGTCAGTGTAGTATTCGTACTCATAATATCTGCTTAAATAATCTCTAAAGTTTTCTTAGAAGAAAAAGCACACAAGGATAAATTTCTAAAACATAATACTGTGATTAAGGGCATTATTTTTCGCAGGCATAATAAAATTCAAGGACTGTATTTCTCACCATGATGAGCAAAATGGTATCGGTTCATATTGAGTATTAGGTTTAAGGGTTCGACGTATAAATCGAAAGTCGAATCATATGAATCGGACATTGACTATTATTAGTGTTCCGTACGAAGGTAGTACTGTGAATCGGCCCTCGTCCCTCTGTCTGTCTGTCCGTCGATCCATTCAATCATTCATTTGCTGTTTATTCATTCGTTAGTTCGTGTGTTCATAACTTTGTTTAACTTTTTGTGTTGCGATATCTTTTTTCTGTCTTCTCTCAATAATTAATTAGTAACACTTATGATAACTAAGATGCTTTATTTTATGTACTTGTTACCAGGCCATACATCAAATTAATTGATTTATATATATATGTGCGTGGAAAACTGCTTTATGCAGGGTGCTGCACCATTGCCCATGTTGTAAAGGTTTTCAGAGCGCGTTCATGCATTAACAATTTATACTGAATTTATATTGCACGTCGTTGAACATAGCGACCATTTTCTCTTTATAAGAGAGAACAAATCGAGGTTACATTCAAACTGGCGGCGAACAAGAGAAGCCACAGTTTTACCCCATCGCTTTATGATGGGGAAGGTCAAAGTAGAGTTGATCTTCATAGGTTTGCGAGAGGGGTAAGTTCAACTGTCAGATTTAATGTATGTACTACTTAGCTTTTCGTGACTTAAAAATTTATAAATTGAATTAGATAATTCTTTACTAAACTGTGAAGTCGGAAGAAGCGTTAGCTACGTGAATTCGAGGTTTTTCTTGTGGAAAGCTGTAATTCAGTTATTGACTTGTGCCTCGCATAGTTGCCTACTCCTTGAAAAATCTACCAAGAAAGAAAACTCGTTTGGACTCGTACGAACTTGAAAAAAGGGAATAAAAAGCTAGCTTTTTTATAATAAGAATTTTAAACGAACTGCTGAATAGATAAAAATAAAATGCAAATTCTTGATATCACATGCTGATAATTATCGTCACTACATCTTGACACAAATTGAAAATAGCAAAAAATAATTTAAAAGCTAGTAGCACTTCACACTTTTATTAAGGTAATTGATTGTAATTTATATTTTTTTAATCATAGTTATTTTCATTCGATATAAAACTATTATCACTTACTAGTATTCATTGTGAATATTTTCTTTGATGTCAGATACATGCATCATTAATTTGTTT